CTTCATTTCCTGTCCTCCCGTGTTGTACTGTGTTACTGTTTACTGTCTAGGTGATTAGCTTGTGAATCTGATGGTCTCAGAGCTCTATTAAGTTATAAATGTTCAAACTACCAGTATGCTGTGAATAAAAATAGAAGTTGCTATTAGATGTCTATTCATACCCTGCAGAAAAGCCTGGCAACATTTTGAACCTTTCAAAACGTAAATACTGCATATTAAGCATAGGAAAGAAAATTAATGTGCTGCATTTGCGAATTTATTTCCAGGTCAAAAAGGCAAAGGGGGACGAGGACTCTTGTAGCAGAGTTGACTTCTACATTTATAGGGTATGTTAAGAAGTTTGAAGTGGCCTGAACACAAAAGAAAAACACTTTAGAAATGGACTAATTTTAGTTTCTCTGATAATCTCAGCTTTTGAATTTCCTCTTTTGATTTTAAATTTATGGCTTCAGTATGACATTACCAGAGTTGATTGCATTTTGCAGGTGGCATTCATGTGTTGTTACTTTATGTGTAGTATATTGTGGGCAATGGGTTACAATTTGTGTTAAAATTTTCCAAAATGACACAGTATTTCTTAATTAGACTTGCAAATGAGTAGTGCCTTTTTTTCAAGGAGAGAAAATAGTTAAAACATTACAGGAAGTTTTGTGCTTTTCTTTCCTTAGTTAGTACTGGGAGAAGTTTGCCATAAAGTTTTCTTCCTGAAACTTTGACAGTTTGTAGTAAGTTTTGATTTATATATGAAGTCATCATCTGACAATTCCAAATAAGTGTCTTTTTGAAGCATACCAGTTTTTTATGTGTCTATAAAGACACATAAAAAGAGTTTAACAGATTTATCTCTTTTTTTGCCATTCAAAACAGTACAAAGTTGTCATCTCAATGGCATTTTTAATATTTTGAATAACCTAATAACTAAATTTAATAAGTTAATAATTGCCATCTTAATCATAGGTTTCAGTGATACAAACAGTACCCACAAATCACCTACACTTTTTTCAAAGAAAAACAATCATAAATAACAATAAAAAATAAGAAAACAACAAACAAAAACAATAAACTACAGTTAATGCTACCAATGTTAACACATAAAGTAGAAAAAGAAAACATGCAGTAACACAATTTTCAGATAAAATCTTTAGACTTCTTCTCAGACACAGTAAGATCTAGAAGCAGATTCTAATTCTTATAAGTATTTTTCAGACCTAAGCTGACCCTGTCCTGAGTTCCAGGAGGTTCAAAATTCCTATCATTTATTCCCATGGTAAATGTCCCTTTCATACTGAATATGTAAATTCTTAAAAGAGCTCTAGTGATTTCATTTGGCTTGTAAGTAAAGATCTTGGATGTTTTTAGAGCTACATAATGTTTGGTGATGAAATTTTGTACTTATGAGTATTAACTTATGCCAAAAAGCTATTTACTTGATATTCTTTAAATACCATGGCACAATGCAACTAAACTCAGATTATAAACCATCTTAAGTAACACTAATGCAATGTGCACTTAATGAGCACTATAACTAACTTAATTTTCATGTAACAGATAACATCTGGGGGAAATGTATGTTGGTAAGTTATGCAAAACTAATTTCTAGCGACCACATCTGTAGATGTTATTTATTGTACGTTCACTTAACAGTTCATTATTCTGTTTAGAAATCTATTCTCTTCTTTATTAGAGCTTTTAATGTACTCACCTCAGTTCAAATGGTCTGCTCATTATCAGAAAAAATATAAATGGCATTCACATGGAGCAACATGATTGTTTTTATTATATCCATTTGTGTGCAAGCACTCAAAAATGGCAAGAGAAACACATTTATTGCTTTACATTCAAAGTAATATTTAGGAGGTATTTGAAAGTCAAGCAAAACCAATCATTTGGCCAAATGATGTACGTGTATAATCAGAAACTCCTGATTTTTAATCTCAGCATTAGGCCTCAGGCAAGTCACTTAAAGTCTTTCTCTTTGTTTTCTGATCTGAAGATTATGGGTGCTATTCTCTTATAGACGAAAAGAGGGGGTTGCTAAATCAGAGTCCCAAATAGGAGTGTTTTTTTAATAAACATACTTGATCCTTTTTCTGTTTTTATTTTAAAGATTTAAGAGGTAACATATTATACTTTTGAGGAAAGAATATGAGACAATTACAGTTTTACAGGAATGTATAAAATAGTTATAAAACTAGCTTTATTTAATTTGCTTCAACTATTCATAGACTTGAGGAAATTATAACGTTCTTTCAGAAAATCTAACTTAATAAAGCTGACCATGTCTTTCTGTTTTAAATAGATTTTATTACAGAACCAGTGATGTTGTAAAACATGAGGTTTTGTTAAAAAAAAATACAAAGGCCTAATTGTATTTTTTAAAGAAAGTATTGCATCAGACGGTTTCATTTAAACATATTTGCTGGCTCTGTGCTCTCACCACAATTATTGATTCTAATTTTCCTTCAACTTGTTTTTTAAAAAGGCTACTTAATGGGGGAAAAAATCACTATGATGCTTCTGGGCACTATGTTTATTTCAAACTATGTATTTGACAGTGTACCTTCTTACTACTAATGAAATGACTTTATATTTACCCTTATCTGAAATTGGGACATTCCTTTCCCTTATAGTATCTTACTAACGTAGCCAAATGTAACTCTGTGAAAGAGAAAAATGTAGCTGTGGTTTGGTTCATTGATATTATGCAAAACACCCTGAAGTAAAGAAATTCTCACTGCCAGTTTTTGTGCATGAATTAAATCAAATGAATAGCTGTATGAGCTACACTCATAAAAATCAAGGAAAAGAAAAGCCCAACTCTCAGTCAGAGCTTCAGGTTCTTGGGATAAATAGGAGCTTCACTCCACCAAAGAAGTGATGATGTGGAGCTGAGGAGTACACACACACACACACACACACACACACACACACACACACATACACAGAGACACACATAGAGACACACACATACACATACACACAGAGACACACACACACATAACATACACACACAGAGACACAGAGACACACACAGACACACACACACACACAGAGACACACACACACATACACATATACACATATACACAGAGACACACACACAGACACACAGAGACACACACATACACACACAGACACACACACACATACACACAGACACACACACACACCTTATTTATTTTACCTATAATATTTCAGAGGATTTAAAATATATTTAGCTGTTTCATTTTTCTAGCTTGGTAAAATAAAGAGCAATATAAGATGCAGGAGGGTAAAAAAGAAGTGTGGTGAAAAAATGGTACAAATGGTTTTGTGGGAAGATGAAAATGCTTGTATGTCCCATTTCGGAAAAAAAACAGTATATTATGAAAGTGAAGAGAGAAAAGGATTGTTCTCATATGTTTTTTTGATCTTCTATTTCGATTAACATTTAGTCAAGATAGACAATCTGGAATGATGTCATCTAATAGAATAAAGATTAAGTGCTTAATAATATCAGTTAGTATTGGGAAACTAACTAATGTTAGTTAGTTGCCACAAATGTGGCAACATGATGACATATTACAGTTTACCAAAAACTGCATCAGCCACAAAGTCAGCACACCAGGGTTTAACTTCCATCCCTGTCACCAAGTAATTATTTGACCTTAAGACAATCATTAAATCTCTTGATTTCCAAATTGCCTTGACTGTAAAGTTATGACACTTCAGTCCTTCTATATATTTATACTAAGCAGCAACTTCCTATAAAATCAAATTAAAATTGGTAATATGAATTCAAGGCAAAATACATTGCTATGACAAGCAATAACCTAGCCTCCAGTTCATTCCAAAACCTATCTAAATCAAAAATATTAATATGTAAAAGATGAAGTATTATAACATGTAAGTTTATTTGAAATATTGTAGAGAAGTTAGAAATGAATGTGATGATTTCAGGGAGTTTCCAGGTCCCATGGGATGGTAATTATTTGGTGAGTTTACACATTTCTAGATTTTTGTCTTAAAACTTGTAGGCTTAAAGACTGTCAGCATACAGTGGGTGGCTTCATCTCAGGGCCACAAAAACAAGCTCCCGAGACCTCACTAAATAAACTAGAACATGGATTTATTGATTTCCAATGAGGAATGTAACAGGCATGAAGATCAGAGCACTCAACTGGCTGTGTCTATAGATCATCTGAGATGGAAAGGCACAGATTACGATCGGAATGTTGCCTTTTAAACATGAAATCAGAGCAAGAGGAACCATTTAGATGCATCAGATGTTTAATGCCATCAGTACCCTCATCTCCGCTCTCTCCCCCAAGTCATGGTGAGATGGACACCGCATAAGGTGACTCCTTTAACTCATTTCATTTCCACTGTTGACCACCCGTCACTCTTCCTCTGGTTGGCACTCTTGCCACAGAATTATTAAAATGCTCACAGTGGCATCTTGCCTTGCCCTAGGTGTTTCTGCTTGACTTCGAAAATCTCCTCTCTGATTTACTGCATGCTGGCTATGTACATTAACCTTGAGAGCCTTTATTGTCCGTATCACCAGGTTCTCTTGGCCACTTCACCATTGTCTCCAAGAACAGCTGTGCTCTACTGAGTAATACCAATCACCATTAGGCTGTTACTGAGTGTTTTAAGCGCGAAACCCTCTGCCAGAACTGGAGAAGATGTGCAGAGGATCTAAAACATGGTCTCTACCTCCGGAGAGCTGGTAGACAGGAGGAAGGGGACACTGACCCATGAAACAACTCAAGATCAAGGCAGTACAAAATGAAGTTCTAAACTCCATGGTACAGAAAAATTAGACAGTGGGGGAAAGTAAGATGCAAGTTATCAGGTACAGAGCACAAAAAGCACTAGAGAGCTAAGAGGGCGGCATCAAGAATTCAGAGGCGACGGCACTTAAAAAATAATAGACTCGGAACTTTGTAAATATCGCCTGAAATTGTGGTTACTCACCAAAGACTTTGTCATAATACAGCTCTTCTCTTCCCCACTAGCAAGTGATAGAGGTTGTGAAGCCTGCAGGTCACCCTTTCCCTGATCCTCTGGAAGAAGGAATCTCATTTGATATTTACTCAACATTCATAGAGCCACCTCCAGTACTGGATATGGAAATGAAGGTATATTTCCTTGTGTCTCTTAATTCACCCTATCTGAGCATTATATTCTCTAGAGGATAGGAGAAAAAGAACAAAATGCTCTTCTATCTTCTTTCCCTCTGATTTTTCCTAGCTAAATATAAATATTTCTTCTGGCGTTGATTCATAAGTGGGCCAGCTGAGGGTGGTTTAGCAATTTTAATTACTTCTACTCCATCTTCCCCGATCTCCACCTTCATTTGCCCCAGAGTAGGTAAAGGCAGCATTACTTGATTTGTCATGATGCTCATGAATAATGAAAATGCAGGAAAACGTCAAATCAAAATCCTTTTAGATTGACATCATTTCTGATAGAAAACTACCCAAGAGAAGCCTTTACTATCAGTAAAGGCTCCAGAAATCACTTGAGTGTTGTTTACTTTTAATATTCTAGGGGTTGAATCAAGAACAAGGCCCTGAAGAGTCCCAGCCAGAAGCTGACACTTCAGAGACTGATCCATTAGTTGGTTTCACCATTGAAGATATAAAATTGGTGCTGGGTCAAGTCACAGATGACATTTTAATCAGCATTCAGGTACTCAGCCTTGATGGTGTGCTCACTTACTTTATTACTGGTTAATTAGCCAACCTCAACCTTAATGTCTATAAACACTACCCACGTTCTGCCAGCGAGAGTGACGCTGATGATGGAGGAGTTCAATATAACATCTCCACATAACTCTCAGTTGAGTCATCTGAGACTCAGTAAGATCACAAAATAAATTCACCAACAGCACATAGTGTGGTGCGTTATCAGTTTACAGATCATTCAGCATTGAGACCCAAAAAATAACATGATAAAGACTTCGTGCCCAGTCACACTGTAAGCAACTGCTCATGCAAGAGTAACGGGAGAACATTTCTAAATAGTAAACACTAAAGCTCAGACCATAATTCTTAGCTAAGACCTTTCACCAAATTCCTACAGAGAGGCTTTCATATCTTTGAACTCCTTCTCAGATGGTTTGCTCCTTTGCACATACCACTAAGAGCTAATGGCTATGTATATTAATGGTGTTATCACTGACACCAATGGCTGCATGAAAATGGTGATGGCAACAGCCATCTCAGTAGCAACTGCCAATGATGAATCAGTTGGCTAAGTTTCATGCTTAATGTATTTTCCCCATCCAAAAACAAACAAACAAACACACAAAAAAACATTTCTACCTCAACACAAATGCTTGCATCATTTCCTAGGCAAAATGATTAAATGAGTGATTTCCATATTTTGAGAGGATTTATAATTTCTTGTGGCAATAACAATGAATCAGTAGGACAATATACTGTATGTTTAAAATATGAATGCATCTCAGGGAAAGATTTAGTTGTTTTCTGGACATGAGACTATATATAAAAAGCACACTGTATTAACAACTAATTTAGGAGGAGCAAAAGATTAGCTTGGCAATAGCATACCTTGTTAGCTGTTTAATCATCAAATGTTAATGTGCTATTTACATGAATATTTAATGATTCAATGCCAACAGAATCAGCCAAAGTCCTCGGCTTAATAAGGGGTGTTTAGTATTTACCAGAAATAGTGAAAGGACACATTTTACACAAAGCTTTATTGTTAACAACCCTATGAATGTAATAACTGGTTTCTGTGTAGAAGGGCAGAATGCAGTTGAACTAAGCTAAGTTCAGAACATATCTCCTTTTTAGATTTGATAACATTTCATCTAAATATAGTTTATGTATAATCATGGCCCTGGGCTCCTTTGTGATCCTGCGGCTCTGAAATTATCACCGAAGGACTACTAGACAGTAACAGAATTGTTTGCAGGCCCCCAAAATTGAAAACATCTTTACCAAGGCCATGTTCCATGTAGTGAGCAGTATGTTTTTAACTATTCATTGAAAAAAAAATTTTTAATTAAATCCTGCAGCATTTGTATCACTACTCTCTATAGCAGAAAGAATATGATTGCTATATGTGTGTGTTATTGTCCCACTGGCCTGCAGCCATCTTTACTGAGCTTGGAAGTCCATTAGCTGGCTCATCTAAATGTAATTCGGCATAGAAAGAACTTGGACCAGAGGTGAGGGATACAGATCTTTCAGGTGCCTTGATCATTTCCATGTTAAGTAGATTCATGGACATTAGCCTGGGCCAAACTATTGCCAATTTTTCAATAAAATTGCATGGTGATGTGGATTGATACAGTGTTTCAAGGTAGCAAACCCCTTTATATATTTTCTCTCAAAAATCCTAGTAAACTCCATGCGAATTAGGCAGGCACTTACCTGATAAATAAATTGAAAACTTAGAGACACAGAAAGATTGTCATTTGTCCAGGGTTTCCAGGGTCAGAAACTGATGAAAGGCCCTGATTGGGAGCTGTGAACTGGGTTCTAGTTCTAATTCCAGTGTTATCCACAGAAACCACATAACGTCTAATATCATGACCAGACTACTTTGGTTTTTAATACTCCAGTGGTGTGGCACTTTTTCAGCATTTACTCTTGTGTCTTGGTCAAATTCCAAGTCGGGTTAACTGCGCTCTGCTTACCTAGGTTTCTCTCCCTGTTTTAGATGGGTAAGTTATTTTCCACTTCTAAAACCTCCTTCCAGTGTTCCTGGCTCTTAAAACTGTCTCATCGCTGTTCAAAGGTAGCCACTTGTCAGTGGTCAGTGTATATAAACCTTTTGAAGACACTGACTTGCTGTAGGAACATTTAATGAATTATTATTCGTAAAATGTTTTAAATTTTCCAATAGTTTTTTCTCCTTCTTTATTTAAAACTCATACTCTTAATTATAATTTTTGTAGGAAAAGGCAGTAGAGAATTCATGTTTTAAGTACAGTTTTTTCAGAGCTTCTCCTTCAGCATGGTTACAGGCATATTTCACTTTCTGTAATTCAGAAATTTCTGACAATAGTGTGAATCCTTAAATTTTTTTATGTTAATCTACTTACTTTCCCATTGACTCACTTTATAATTTTAGAAATTTATTAAGAATGAAGTTATCTTGGCCCTGAGATGTTAATTAAAATTATACTGAATAGAGCAAACATTTTAAGCTTATATAGTTTAGGTATTTTAATTTTAAAGATACATTCAAAATGAAATTAGTTTGGCCCTGAGTTGTGTAATAAAAATTATACCCAATGGAGCAAACCTTAATATATTTAAAGAATTATATTTCAGAGAAATACGAATGCTAGCACTAAATTCTTACATTAAATATTGGCTGTTGGCCCTGTCTAAGCAAAATAATGTGAAAACCTTGAGGGAAGTTTGCCATCTTGGGACTATAGGTATTTTTAGGTCAACTTGAATTTCCAGGTTAGAAAAGCTGAGTGGGAAATCACCTCAAGGAGTGATCACCAAAAGAGTATTGAACTCAGGTCTTAGATTTTCCATTCTTTCCTAAAAGGAAGTAGAAACATACTCTATCCTGGGGGTTGTAGGATAGCATGTCTGGTCAGCAGTGTTCTGAGGATTAACACAGAGACACCACAGACCAATGACAACCTGTTCTTGACCAGACGGGGAGTCTTGTCATCTAGCGCCCTATCACCGTGGTCTAGAGATCTGAGACATGTCCCTCTGTCAGCTCTAGCAGGTGTGCACCTGACCTTCACGAGCCTTTTCCCCAGAGCACACACTTGTGTTAGTGAATTCTGTCTCAGTGAAATACCAGAAAGACCTCCAGGTTAATGTGAAAACCTTGATGAGACAGTGAAACAGAAGCTGGAAGATGATAATACATCTGTTCTTAGTTGAAAAGAAATTACATTATTGGTGGATATAGAATACATTAATTGAAAGCGGGGAGAATCAATTGTCTAGTTAGAGCAGTGCTTCCCGATCCTTTGGAATTGTAACAACCATTTCATTCCCTGTATGGTCTAATATGTAGCATGCCATAAAGAAGCAGAAGTAACCTATTTTTAAAACATATCACAACATTCTATTAATGAAGCAGGATAACGTCGGTGAATATATCACAAAATTAGGAGTTGGAATTATGAATTTAAAAGCTAACATACATGAAATTTAACATACTTAATTTTAAACTACTTAACTTTTCAGATAAGAACTAAAGGTGGTTAAGTGGCTTTCCCAAGGCCACAGAGCTAAACTAATCCCTAGGTCTCCACACTTCTAGACCCTGCCTCCTTTCAGCTTTTCCAATTTTATGCCTGCGGGGATTAGTGGCCCCTGAAATATGACAGTTCTTTTGTAACCCGGAGGACCATGTTCATCCCTCATTGCCTCCTTCACCCAGCCACCAAGAAAGGAAAAGATGAGAAGCTAGAAGCCAGACTTGACCCCAGGGCTTGATAATCAAACTTGAGCCAAAAAAGATCGATATTCACACGAGAACCCAGAATTATTGACACCAGTGTGATCTTTTCAGAAATAGCAACTCTGGGCTTCCCTGGTGGCGCAGTGGTTGAGAGTCCGCCTGCCGATGCAGGGGACACGGGTTTGTGCCCCGGTCCGGGAAGATCCCACATGCCGCCGAGCGGCTGGGCCCGTGAGCCATGGCCGCTGAGCCTGCGTGTCCGGAGCCTGTGCTCCGCAACGGGAAAGGCCACAACAGTGAGAGGCCCGCGTACCGCAAAAAAAGAAATAGCAACTCTGAACTGAAAATCTCATCAGATAAGGCAACCAGGTGGACCTTTGAAAACTACCTATTATAATTACATTTATAAATAAAGAAATAAGAATGAAGTTATATCTGGACCAAAAACAGTATTTGATTTTTTAAAATTTCTTCTATATAAACTAAAATAATATATTTCTCAAAATACAGTTACCCTGATGTCCTCAAATTAGGTTATAGACATTAATATTTTAAACTTCAAATTACTTGTTAACATTTATGTGTATGAACTACTCCTCATACACTTGTCAACTATTTTAAATCACCTAAACTACTCCTCATACACTTGTCAACTATTTTAAATCACCTCAACAAAAACACCACTTTTACCATGCCCCACCACTGGTTTCTCTATACATAGTTTTATAACCCATCATGAAAAAAGGAAGACATTTCCAGGGCTACACACGTTCAGATAATGTGAAAATATTTTTGGAATTATGCAGGTAGCAATGTTAGTCCACAGAATATCTCTGCCAGAAGCTAAATGCTATCACAGCCACTGCAAACACTAAAATCTGTCAGCAACTGCTTACTTTTTTCTACCAAAACTGTACCACAAAGTGGCATAATTCCAAGAGTTATATGTGTGAAGAATACTTTTTAATTATGAGAATCATTCTAATTGTGAAATTATTTGTGTTGTTATTTCACAACAGAAGGTTTCTGGGATCTCATTTAGAATGTATTACGCAGGAAACAAAAACATCCATTGAAAAGGGGTGGCAGTACCAACAACACTGCAATAACTGAGCCTAGAGCAGTTATTCTGATTCGGTGCTTATTGGTAAAGTCTGTCTGAAAATGCAGATAAATTAGCCTATCTTCTAACACAAGGCTATGTGAAAAATGGCTGTCCAAATACCACTTCCTGTTCATAGCAGACATGCTATACATTGGGAATGTGCACAGAAATATGATAAAGTGTTATCACATCACTACAGGCTGAAACACGGCTATGTCTGCAAAACAGGAAGGTGTGTGAAGGATAATGTCTGTCTTTAGGCACTATAGTATGTCAAAACCACAAAGACAATGTGCAGCAAAAGATAGCTCCATCCTAACCACTTTTTTATGACTGTCTTCACAGACCAAGATAAACGAAAAGCTGCAAATACAGGAAGAGGCCTTTAATGCACGAACAGAAAAATTGAAAAAGGCCTGAGGGCTCCAAACAAGGAGAGTGATGCTAAACTTCACAGAAACAAACAAAACCAGCCAGAATAATAGACTCTCTAGAGCACCAGAGCGCCTTCATTTAGCTGGGAGAGGAAAACCAAGCCCCAATTTTTATTATCCGAACTAATTAGAAAAGTATTGGCCCCAATTTTGCTACCTCCTATCCCATAACAGCCTCTGAATTTATTACGCTGTGTGTAATAAGAACATTTTGTATATAAGAGTTTGGAGAATTATATATAAAAATACAATGACTTTTACAATACTCCTTTGACATTTTGACTAGTAAATGTTAATCATCTTCAAGGAGAATGAAGTCAACTTTTTAAAATAAAGAAAAAACGTAATAATTTTATCCACACTGACCCAAATGAACTGCCACGTTGCTGAAGCTTTGTGAACATAGACCACCACCACACTGCTGAGGATAAAACTTGCTAAACAATAGCAATTCAAATGCATATACTAGGGTTTTTTTTCCTCCTTAAATCAGTTGGTTTTCTTATTTAAATGTTTCAGTGTGAAACCAATTTTATGAAATTATATAATGCAGTTTGAAGCACTTTATTCTGTACTGTATTTGTTATTTCTAATCTTGTTACTCTCCCAGGAGAATACATGACCTATATAAAAAGAAGCAATGTATAAATGGTTATTAAAGACCAACCTATATATAGATTGTAAAAATCTTAAATACAAATCAAACTCACAGAGCTCTTAAAATTAACCATTATATTGCAGTAGAATGATTGAAAACATCTCAAGCCTTTAAATACCTTTACTAAAATATAATTTCAAAAGAAAATATCCATTTGCTGACTGATTGTCCCTAGTTGGACAAACTAAATTAACTACTACCTCGGCTCTTTCCCAGTTTCTGAGACTTCTGAGTATTCTAGAGTGTAGAGCCTTGCTAGGAGGGTACCATTCTTCCAAGAAGTTTCCAGTTTATACTGGAGCCAGATGTATTTGCATCTGGGTGGCACTTGGTCGAATATGTTCTGTCCATGCTCTGGCCTTGTCCTATAACCTTACCTACTTACTCTATCTGTACCAAAGGGATTTGCCCAAAATGTATTCACCTGGGGCCCAGACAGATCTGGCAGCATTTGACATTTTTTTAACTACACTGATCATCAAAATAAGAGAAGTCCTTAAGATGAAACCGTGTTTACTGTTCATGAAGTTCCGAGTATGGAAGGCCGGGACATGCGCCAAGATGTTTCTTCCTTGAGCTGTCCTTCCTAACTGAAAATGCTGACAGCCATAGGAGATCACTAGGAGGGCTCACAAGTCTTGATTTCGCCAAGCAGTCTTGTTCCAGAGAAAATAGAGGTGAAACTAGTGAAACCACAAAGAGGGAATAAAGGAGCTTCTCAAAATCACCAAACACAGCTTCAAATGCAATCGTTGGCACAGAGTGGATCTCCATTTTGAGCAAGGGTACCAAGAGTTTAAAACTGAATAAAAAAAATAGCAGTAAGATCCCTAAAATCTACACAAAGACAATATCCTATAAGCATGCCGAAAGCCTGCCTCTGGAGTAAGACTTCCAGGTAGCTTCACCTGACTTGTGTGTGACTTTGGACAGGCTGTTCACCCTCTAATTGCTCATCTATTAAATGAGGATAATACTTATTTTTGAGGTAGTTATAAGAACTCAATAAATTCGGTTTTTTTTTTTTTTTCTTGCGTTAGGCGGGCCTCTCACTGTTGTGGCCTCTCCCATTTGCGGAGCACAGGCTCCGGACGCGCAGGCTCAGCGGCCATGGCTCACGGGCCCAGCCGCTCCGCGGCATGTGGGATCTTCCCGAAACGGGGCACGAACCCGCGTCTCCTGCATCGGCAGGCGGACTCTCAAGCACTGCGCCACCAGGGAAGCCCCAATAAATTCGTTTTAAAGGATGTTTGTTCTAAGGTTTGGTTTCTGTTTACCTCCTAGGATAACCCCAAAACCACTGCCCATCCCTAATACCCACTGTCCAGTTATTGGGTCAGCCTCTTTGCCAGAATTCCCAGCCATCTCTGTCTCTCCACTGGAACCTGTGGATCGATACATCCTCCCATGGTAACTACTTTGCCACCCTGTTTTCTTACATCTTTCATGTTGGAGCAGCCCAGGGATCCCTGAGGCAGCCTGGCTGTAACATCTGATAATGATAGGAGAAAGAACAATTGTAGTGGCAGTAGCTAATTCACAGTCTCTGCTCCTTAAATTAATTTTGTTGATAAAGGAATATGTGCAGTCCGTTACCAAAAAAAGAAAGAAGTGTAGACGATGAAAAATACATTTCAGGGCGCCCCTGATGGCTCAGTGGTTAAGAATCCACCGGCCAATGCAGGGGGACACAGGTTCAAGCCCTGGGCCGGGAAGATCGCACATGCCGCAGAGCAACTAAGCCCGTGTGCCACAACTACTGAGCCTGTGCTCTACAGCCCGTGAGCCACAACTACTGAGTCCACGTGCCACAACTACTGAAGCCCGCGCGCCTAGAGCCCGTGCTCCGCAACAGGAGAAGCCACCGCCATGAGAAGCCCGTGCACCACAAGGAGGGGTAGCCCCAGCTCGCCGCAGCTAGAAGAGCAACGGAGACCCAACGCAGCCAAAAAATAAAAAAATAAAAATAAATTTCACCCTAGCTAGGTACCTTCATTTCTCTTCCCATGAGGCAACCACAGCTTCCAGTAAGACTGTAAGACCGTAGGAAAGTGTTTGCCCATTTAAACAATTTTTTGCCCATTTAAACAATTGGATGCTTGTATAGAGGGTCTTTTTTTTTTAAACACAATTTGAATTGTTCTTTACATTGCTTTTTTCGTCAAACAACATATCTTAAGATAATTCTCTATCAGTACTTTTTACGACCATACAGTATTTTATTTTAGCAATTCCATAACTTTTTAACTAGTTCTATCTATGAACTTTTTATTGTTTTCAGTACTTTGCTATCACAATCTGTGTGAACATGTATGATTATACCTAAAGGATGAATTCCTAGAGAGGGAAATTTCCAGGTCAAATTTACTTGTGTTTCCAGTTTTGATAGATTGTCAGAGTGCCTTCCAAGGATATTTTACCAACAGCATATGATAACTCTTTCTCTACATCATTACTAACAGATGCATTGGCCAATTTTTTAGTGCTCTGATAGAAAATACTGTCAAACTATCGTTTTAATTTGCTTTTATTGTTTTACTCCACAAGGACTGAGCACCTTCCATATGTTTATAAGCAGATTTAAATATATACATATATATGTGTGTATGTGTATTAATCCCCCTAATAACCCTAAGAGATAAACAGATAGATGTTATTGGCCTCATTTTATAGTTAAGGAGCCTGAAGCTTAGAGAGAGTTTGTTTTTTTTTTTAAATATTTGGCTGCATTGGGTCTTCATTGCTGCACACGGGCTTTTCTCTAGTTGCGGTGAGCGGGGGTTACTCTTCGTTGCAGTGCACGGGCTTCTCATTGCAGTGGCTTCTCTTTTTGCAGAGCATGGGCTCTCGGCACGCAGGCTTCAGCAGTTGTGGCATGAGGGCTCAGTAGTTGTGGCTCGCGGACTCCAGAGCGCAGGCTCAGTAGTTGTGGCACACGGGCTTGGTTGCTCCGCGGCATGTGGGATATTCCCCGACCAAGGGTCGAACCCGTGTCCCCTGCATTGGCAGGCAGATTGTTAACCACGGCACCGCCAGGGAAGTCACTTTTTTAAAAATTTATTTATTGAGAGATTATTAACTTGAACCAAATTGCACAATTGATAATTGATAGATGGATCAGGGCTTGAAATCCAGGTCTGACCTATTTTACAGATGAGGAAACTGGAACATAGAAAAAAATTAAGTAACTTTCCCATGATTACACAGCAAGTAAAGTGGTAGAACCAGGTTTTGAACTTAGGCCTGTGTGATGACAAAACCCATATACTTTACCTTTACCTTCATCTAGCTATCTCACAGTCGATATGAAACAAAGTGAAAACTGACCTTTCTTTTTGTTTTTAGTTATAATAAGGTAACAAACTTGTTTGTATTGTAAGCATATTAAATATTTAGAAAATTTATGCAGGGATGGAATGTATAACCCAGATCCATTCATTCGTTCGTTTGTGTGCTGTATATTCATTGAGTACCTACCACGTGCCAGGGCATTTAGTAGTGAGCCAAACAGACATGGTCTCTGCCCTAATAATCTAGGAGAGGGAGACAGCTAATACTAACTGTGATAAAGACAAGCTTCAGGGAATTATAAGAGTATTGAACAAAGGAGCTTGATCTAGTCTGGGAAGTCAGGTAAGCTTCCTATGAGTTTTGCCACTTGGGCTGTGATCTCAGGGATAGGTAGAATTTAACTAGACAGAAGAAGGTGGAGGAAGATGGATTTCAGGCAGAGAAGGAAGCATGTGCAAAGTCCCTGGGACACAGGGTGAGGCTGAACGATTGGTCACAGCCAGAGCTCTCTTGGGGACCTGTAGCCCACATTACAGATTTTTACTTTTAACCTAAAAGCAGTGGGAACTTGTTGAAAAGTTTTAAGTAGCAAGTGATGTCAGATTAGTATTTTTAAAAAGGTCATCTCCCTGGTGCCAGGACTTCTATACGTTGGAGACATGGAAGAGAGAGTATTCTCACAAAAGCTATAGCTCCACTTTTTAGCAATTTCTAAGAGTGGGAGAAATAAAGAAAATTTGGGGCTTTTTTAAAGTCACAGGGTCCGCCTACCCTAAGCACTCTTTGGCACAAAGGCAGCCCTCTGAGGAGCCAGCTGAAAAACCATCCCCAACCTCTGATTTAGACAAGTAGCAACCTTTCTCTTATCATCCACAGTGAGATAGCTTCTTTCCATTTGCAGGAATAATTTGGGGTGATTTTTTACTCACCCCCATGAAAAGTTTCAAAGAGAAAATATATTCACTATGTTACAGGCAAGCCACAGACTGCCACTATTTCAGGTACTTGCAGGCACCGTTGTACCTAAATATAGCTGCGGAGTCATTTTTCCAAAATCCAAATATAAAGCCCCTATTTCTCTTCTCCATTTGATTGGAACCATTCAACCATCCTGCTAGATAATAAGTTTGCATGTTCTTAGATTGCATTTCACTATGCTTCAGTTCCCCTAGAGAAGAAACGTGCTCCTTTTCCCAACAGTTGTAGAGGAGAAATACTTGTGACATCTCAAGTTTCAGAGTCTCAGGAAGCCGGCCCTCTTCTGGACATCACAGTCTTATTTTTTCCTGGACATTGATTTGTTAAATAAGAGAAGTCAGGACCTCTTTGCAGCAGCCAAAACACCTGTGAATTTAGG